AAAAAAAACAATAATGATAATGATCTCCGTTCTCGCGAGAAACTAACAGTCGTCAGTATTTTCCATCCTTTGTTTCTTTCTTTCCCCCCCTTTGTCCCTGTTCTGAAATTTGCTGTCGATCAGCAAAAAAACGTCGGTCAAACGTTGTCTGTAACCACCGCCGGTGTCCGGTAACCGAACGTGCGCACGGACCGTAGGAACGCAAAGGGACGATAAGAGAAAAAGATGCTGATCGCGAGATTTCAGACGGCGCCGTCTGCTCGTTATCTGCACCTCTTTTGTTCCACGCAATTCCATCCGCGCTCTCGAATATCTTTCTCTTTGGCGACGTGCGTGGCCGCTGCCAAGGGCTACCAGAATATTCGCTGGCCCCGTCTAGTAGTAACTCTTTCCGAGACTGAAATATTGTCAAATTCTTTTCTCATACAATGCTTATAATAGATCATTGGATCGCCAGTGGTGTTACAATTTCAGATGGAATAGTCGGAACGTATTTGAAAGTTTCACGAGTATTCAAAACAAAAAAAAAAATATATTAAATTCCCACGTAGTTGCTCATCTTCTAAGTTGTGTGTGCGTTACTGCTGTCGGAAATAGCGTAGAATTGATGGGAAATGGTTGAACGAAGTCGTCGAAGGTTATTGCCTTTCGAAAGTGGAAGTTCCGAGTCACGCGAGCCTTTTGAATAAATCGTCTGTTCTTCGTTTGTGCATTATGTGTATGGATCACGTGTAAACGAGCTGGTTAAATCGTTCGATAAGAGCTCTCCCTCGGGGAGAGAGAGAGAGAGAGAGAAAGTATGTACGGTGTGCATCCTGGTGTTTGACGTTTTTTGCCCGACACCGACGCCCACGAGACGCCCCAGTCTCATGGGGTCCGCGATACCGTTAACGTTTCCGCCCCTGCACGCCTGATCCAACTTTAACACTAGAACTACCACACCAGTTAAAATGGTTTTACTTCGTTTTAAATTTTATTTTAAAATTTCATGTTACATTTTTTTTCTTTTCCCCGCAATTATGTAATGACTTTTGCAGTGATAACTGAAGAAATAATATAATGAATTTTATTAGAAATCAAAGTAATTTTTGTATCATGGCTACTTGTACCAATGCCAGTGAAAATGACTTGTCAAAGTGTAAAAGTCTACCCTACAATCTGTTTACTGAACTCGAATTAATCAGTTTCGTACAACTTCTCACACGGTTTTTAGGTTAGGTTTAGGTTAGGTTTAGATAGAATTTTTACTGCCATCATTCAATATGATGGTGATAATTAGGTTAGGTTTACATAGAATTCAATATGATGGTGATAATTAGGTTAGGTTTAGATAGAATTTTTATCATTCAATATGATGGTGATAATTATCAGGAAAAATACTAATTGACGACCACATGCTTGAACGTACAATATCTTGCACGGAATTGGAAGCTTCTCAAGTTTTGGGTAAAAAATTTGGAATTTTTGTACGCACGGGGGAGCAACGAAATCAAAAATTTGGAACTTTCATATTTATGTAACGGAAAAAGAAAATGGAGATCAAACTTCCTCTCCAATACCATGAAATGATTTTATCGA